TGCCAACAACTTGTAACATGGACTGCAAACACTCACAAAAAACAACATGGAATCTTAATGTGTTGATACAAAAACACAGAAATAAGGTCCATTGTGCATAGAGAGAGAGAGAGAGAGAGATAGATGTGTGTGTATGTGCAGGTTATACATATATAACATTGTCTGAACAATTATATACTGTTTCTGTCATTTGTTTGAGGTACATTTATTTATTGCGGTCTCATTTGGTAGGAGCTTTTATTGTCACAGGCTACAGAACTTTTCTTCTCATGATACCCAAATCCATTTTTAACTAGGACCAAAACCAAGACTTTCTGCACAGAAGACATGCACTTTATTGCCTGAGTGTCATTATGTGCAATCCAGAGGTTGCAACCCTGCGTGCTAGCTTTGTGTTACGCAACATTGTGAGGCATCTTTCACACCCCTTGGATCAACTGCTCTTGTGCTTCTTCCATTTTGCGATGGTAGACGTTGCCTCCCTGGGAAGGAGCTTGGTTTGATGGCACCGTTACTGGACTCAGCTTGCTGCTCTGTTGAACATTGGATCCTGTGGCACCTTCTGGGTTGCAACCAGCCTAGAAGAAGAACGAGCCTTTCTCTTGAATTTGCTGGTGCTGGGCTTTTTTGTAGTAGTGTTATTCTCACAGGGGTATTTGGGTTGTTTTTTTTAAGAACTTCAACTCCCAGAATCCCTGACCCTTGGCCATACTTGCTTTGGCTCAAAATATCTGAAAGACCAAAAGTGGAGAACTTGCAATCCAGCATCCTCCGAGAGGCACAAGTCCTCACTCTTGTTGTTAGGATCTTGCAAGGAAAGTCTCCATCAGGAGAAGGACCGTTGTATAGGACTTCAGTTTCCAGGGAGCCAAGGTCATGAAGCAGATCCTGAAGCGCTTGCCATGTGGCCCACCCAGCACATGGAAAGCGAGGAATGGGATGGGGCATGTGAGCAGGTGGTGTGAATGTGTAAATATAATCCATGCCCCCCTCCCAACAGGGGTAATGTAACTCTCTCCAAGTGCCCTTTGCATGCCATGCCACGGTGGGTTCACCAAGAGGGGAAATTTTGATGCTTCCATGAGATCTCTGGGGGTCTTTGCATGTTCATGATGGGAGAATCGGTCCCTCCTACAGGTATAGGAGGTCTTTTTAAAAACAGCTGGTGATTGTTGCAAGGATTACCGTATGTCAGCTTTCCAGGGGTTTATGCAAGAGAGTAAGTACAATGCTAAACTTGGATGGAGCGATCCTTTGCTCCCTGTTATGCCAGTATGGCCCAGCCCAAAACTTGGGAAAATTACATTACATCCCCTTGGTTGCTTTGCTTGACCCTTTTCTTTGGATGTCTAAACAGTATTTCTCAATGAAGAACTTAAATTTCAAGTTACTACGGTGCTAGAAATGGAAGGATGGGTGGAAAGTTTTGCTTGGGGAGCAGAATTTTTATTTTGGGCAATGTTCTTATTCCCTCTTCCATTTATTCCCCTTTCCACCTACACTCATAACTCAGGTAGGATTGGAACTCGGGTCACCCCATCTGAAAGGCTGCAAACTGGCTCTTGCTTGGGATACATTAACACAGCATCCACAATATAATCTCGGATGTGTGACATAGAACCTACCCAGGCATGAAGAAAGATTTCTTGGCTGAGCAGCCCAATCCAAAGAGTTGCAAGAACATGTCCATGCATGAGGCGCATGGCTGAATTCTGTCTGGGTTTCCTTTTCTTATTGTCATGGTTGTTGACTAAAAATAAACCCGGGTGCTGGGCGGGCCAGGTGCTTTCCTGCTCCCAGTTTCTTAGCACCCATCTACTCCCAGAATTTCTGGCTCCATGCAAGCTCCTGTGGAGGGCGGCAAAGCTTAGTGCTTGGGAGCAAGAAACTCAGATGGGCCCCTGACTGAGCATGGCAGCTGATGCCATCTTCTCTATGGGGCATGAAATGGAGGCTGTGGGTGGGACGGATGGTGGCAGGGATGCCCCTGTTTCTTGGAAGCCCTGGGGCAGTTCCTCTACCTGACCAATGGTAGCTGCTGCATCCTTGAAATGTTCTATCTTGGTTTCATATTTGAAATGTGCTTTACCCAAACTGTGAGCCTGCTACAAAAAGGGTTGGTGTTGCACTCTTGTTAAAAATGGAAGGGCTCCACCACATTGGTCAGATTGAAGAAGCATGGCTTTGATACAGCTGGATTTTGCTGGTTGTTTTCTCTCCAAGGACTAGTCTACACAGCAGGGTGTTAAGCACATTGCTGCAGATTTTCACACATCCGCACCTAAGATAAACTGACTTCACTTTCGTGCACAAATGTGCATCTCTTCACATCTATTCACCCTCCCTCTGCAGAAAATGCGCAGCCATCTGAATCCACACCTGTGATAATGCGCATTTCTGCAAATTTCCACAGATACTCTGGTAAAAATGGTGAAGCCTTTTTCTGTGGCGTTTAAGGAGTTCTTTATCCACCACCATCCTGCAAAACGCCCAAATCCCTGTGAATTGCATGTGGCAAGATCATATTTAATTTGACTCAAATGAGGAGTATTTTAATTGTGTAGACTAGCTCCAAAGCCACTCGGACCATTCTTTTTGGGGAACTGTTTGTAGCAATGGTTTGCATCTGCACAGGCTCTTTCAAAGTTTGCTTAAAAGTAGGGTATGGTTTGCTGATGTGGACCTATGGTTTTGAAGGGCAATATAAGTCAGTCTCTCTTGTCTCTCTCTAATGAGAAAGGAGCCAAAGATACTCTTTTGTTCCTCTTTGCCTCAAAATTGGAAAACAGCCACTTGAGGATGGGATGAAATAGTTGCAGCTGGTCCTGGGAATTGCCAGAAAAAAGCACTGGACACTAGAAAACTCATTTGGATATTTTAACCACCTTGAGAAAAGTCTCCAAGTTTGGACATGTTTGTCCTGTTTGCAGGAGCCCAGAAACCTTCCAGAAAGCATAGCAACATGGAATGGGTGAGATTCTAGCAGATTTATGTCCCTCCTGCCCTCAAACTGGATGCTTCCCTCCTCCTGCAAGGCTGAACACTTTTGCTCTGGCATCTAGCAAGGCCTGCCTTCGACTAATTGGTGCCGTGAGTCATGCAAAGTTTTGCTGCAATTATGCAGTTTGTACATTTATTTAAAATTGTATTTATCAAAGGCCAGGCAGTTGATGGAACTAGATAAGATCCTGAAATGGAAAGATATACCACTGGATACTAAAATTAGGATGGTCCATGTCATCATATTTCCAATTTCTGGATAGGATTGTGAAAGCTGGACAGTGAAGAAAGTGAATAGGAAGGAAATCTGCTCATTTGAGGAGAGTGCTATGGATACCGCAGACTGCTGAAAAGACAAATAAATGGGTCCTTTGAGCAAATCAGGCCTGAACTCTCCCTAGAAGGCAAAGTGACTAAACTGAGGCTGTGCAAAAGGATCTTGTAGCACCTTTGGGGCTTAAATAAGTGATTGGAAGATGTGGTAGCATAGGCTTTCATAGACTTGGCCTTGCATCTGAGGAAGCAGACCAAAAGTCTACGAAAGCTTACGCTACAGCATCTTTCACACAGTCTCAAAGGTGCTGCAAGATCCCTTTGCATACCAATTCTTCAGTTTGGTTCAGTAATTCTCAAACTTTGGCCTTCCAGGTGTTTTGGACTTCTGCTCCCAGAATCCCAGGCCATTGGCCAAGGTGGCTGAGGCTTCTGGGAGCTGAAGTCCAAAACACTTGGAGGACCAGAGTTTGGGAATCACTGGGTTATGTTGTGCAAAGCCATTGCAGGAAGGAAAACCAGAATGATTTGGATCACCTTCTGTTGACTTGAGCTTCAACTTCCATGGGCAACCCAGCCTTACTAGTCGTGATGGACACCAGTTTGAAGCCACCTTGATTCAAAACTTTGGAGAAAGGGCAGGATGGAAACGCAGTATAACCCATCGGCCACCTCATGCTCTTCTGAGCTGATATTGGGGAAAGCCAAGCTTTCAGATAAATGTTTCACAGTTCTTGTCTCCTGGCACAGGGAGTACAAACCGTTCTCGATTTACGAGGCTTTGCGAATTTCTGAACGCCTTGGAGACCAGGTGGAGCAAGGTAGCTTTTCAGCTCTGGATTAAATACATAGTACTCTGCAAACTCATACAGTTGCTGTCTAATTGGGAAAGAAGAAAAAAAGAAGGCAGCAATGTGGGTTTGTAGTGAGCAGCTGTTGTGAAGTAGCTTATCTGTCATGCTGAGAGGGTTTCCCTTCACATCCTTAAGGCATAAATAGCCTGCTATCTTTTAAAAAAAGGAACCATTTCTAATGTTTTCCCAGAGTCGTTGTGTATGTTCATATGTCCTCCCCCAATAAATCTCGCTACTGTGAACCCAGATGTTCTTGCTGGCTGTAAATTGTGAAAAGAAAGTTGATTTGCTTTTATAAACAGACATTTTTTTATGAGAAACATGTCTTTTTCAGAGCTTGGAAAAAGTCTGGGAGTTTGAAGTTGTTCTTTTTTAGACTGTGACTTCCAGAATCCCCTGGTCAGAATGGCCTTTGACTATTCTAGGCAGGGGATTCTGGGGGTTATAGTCCAGGTTCTGGACTAATTTCCTCCCATAAGATGACATGTGGAAAACCTGTGCTGCTGTGCCCTGTGGTGAAGTGGTGATTAAATATATATATATATATATATATTTCCATTACTTCCTCAATTTGGCCTCCATTCTTCTGTATATGTAAAAAGTGAAGGCCACTGAACAAGGTGGAGCTTCTGAGCAGGGCTTAGAAAATTACTTTTAAAAAGGCAATGGTTGGACTTAGCGAGTTCTGACATATCACAACCCTTTGTTGTTGTTGTTGTTGTGTGCCTTTCAAGATTTTTCTGACTTACGGCGACACTAAGGCAAAACAATCTTGGGGATTTCTTAGCAAGATTGGTTCAGCGGGGTCTTGCCTTTGCTTTCCTTGGAGGCTGAGAGAGTGTGACTTGCCCAAGGCCACCCAGTGGGTTTCCATGGCTGAGCAGGGAATTGAACCCTGGTCTTCAGAGCTCTTGTCCAATGCTCAGACCACTAAACTATGCTGGCTTTGTATATGGTGACCCTATCCTAAATAGCCTTGGATATTTATTCAGAGGAAGTTTGCCATTGCCTTCCTCTGAGGCTGAGATAATGGTCATCCATTGGGTTCCATGTCTGAGCGGGGAATCAAACCTTGGTCTCCAGAGTCATAGCCCAATACTAAGACATTGCACTATGCTGGCTCTTGTTGGCTGGATTTATCCAGAGTGTGCTTGCTATGTCTTTCCTCTGAGGCTGAGAGAGTGTTACCCAGTGGGTTTCCATAACTGAATGGGGCTTTGAACCTTGGTCTCCTGGAGTCTAGCACTCAAGCCACTATGCCACAATGACTAAATAACTAACCAAAAATTATGTATAATTAGTCCCATCCAGTCTCTACCTCTGCAGAGACATGTCTAGCTGCTGCTGCATGGTAACTCTTCCCTTTTAAAGATCCCAAACAGTCAGAGACCCTCCCTGTTTATACGGATCTTTCTCCCAACGGTTGCTTTTAAGCTCTTTGGTCCTCCTCCCTGCAGCTACCTGGCTGAGTTCCTCTCTTCTGTTTATTAAAAGAAAGAAATCGTATCATTGCAATCTCTTGGCTCCTCAAGGCAGGGAGGGGACACTGAGTCTTGGAGGCCTAGTTAACTGTTTAACGCAAGGCAAAAGCTGCACAATCCAGGGCTGAAAAACCAACCCCAGGAAAAGGGTTTCCCAGAAAGTACAATTCCTGTATTCCTTTCTTAAGTCTACCTTCACCTGCAAAAGTTGCATTGCAGCACACGGGAAGACCGAAAGTGCAGCCCTGTGCACGATAAACATCTGCCAAAGAATGGGACGGTGAATGGAGGAACCTGTGGCTCTCTAAATCAGGGGTAGGCAACCTTTTTGAGCCAGGGGCCGGGTTGCTGTCCCTCAGACAATTGGGGAGCCGAAGCACCAAAAATAAATAAATAAATAAATATTTCAAAAAATTAAAAAAATATGCATGCACACTCTCTCAGCCCCAGAAAAGCCATGGCAAAAGCCCTGTGGAGATTTTGCCAAGAAAACCCCAAGAACAAGTAATAACAACAATAATCAATATCATCATGGCGGGGGGGGGGGCGGCGGCGGCAGGACCGGCCTGGGGCTGGTTCAAAGGCCTCGTGGGGCCGCATCTGGCCCCCGGGCCTTAGGTTGCCTACCCCTGCTCTAAATGTTGCAAACTGCAGCTTCCATCATCCCTGACCATTGTTCATGAAGGCTGGGATGGCTGGAAGGTGGAGAGTCCCAACACCGTCTGGAAAAGGTAGAGGTTCCCCAGCCCTGGCAGAGAGCAGGCATATTAATATTTCCTTGCCTGCAATAGAAATGTCTGGGAATTTGAGTGGGCGTGAAGTTTAAAAAGAGCGTTCCAGGCTGTGCCACGGACTCACGGGGCATGACGGAGACCTGCTGGCTTGGCCAAAACTCTGGAGAGCCGTCTTCATGCATCAGCCGCCACCGCTGCGATTGGATTCCCATCATCCAGGGCACAACTTTCCACAAACATTGTGCTGCAAGGCCTGCTTGGAAAACTTTGGCCGGATGACTTAAGATGGAGAGGTTGGGAAAAAGCCTAGCCAAATCTTGTTATGTCCTGATTTATTAAGCATTCCCCTGGTCCCACCACCATTGCAGGAGTGTTCGGTGAGGACACAGGAGAGGATCCCATTCAGGGACAATGAATCCCATTGCGGGAGAAAGGGGGGATATAAATCCTGGAAATCAATAAATATAAATAAATAATGAGATAAAGGTTCTTCTTCATGATCTCTGTGCCTCATACATATGGGTTTTTCTAAGAGGTTTTTGCCTTGTTACTCATTGATTAAGGAGGTCTCAAGAGGAGAGAAGGCTGGAGTGTGCTGAGATGGTTGGGAAACTGGAGGTGGCAGGAATTGAAACCAGGACCCTTGCTTGCAAAATAGATGCTCTTGCATTGGTTCTTGCAGCCCAGGTTTCTTGATTCCAAAAGTATGGAGAGGGAGAGGTTGCATTTATTCACTAGTGCATAAAAACACTCTGTATATGCTCAGAGGAAGGCAGAGTATTTCAGATCCAGCATTCCCCTTCCTTGATCGACTCACCAACTGATCATCGTAGCCACTTAAACAAGAGATTAGTATCTTCTAACTGGAATAAACTCATCGTCACCTCTTCCAGTCCAGACAGATAATTAATTCACAATGTTGGTTCTTCCGTCAAGAAATGAAAACTTTTCTGTACTAATAAATAACTTTTGGGGAACTGGTTGCAAGGGTTGTCCTGTGCCCCTTGTCGCCCGCAGCCTCAAGCGCCAACATAGTTTCCAAGTGTTTTGTGTGTGAAATAATTTTGTTAATCTGCAGGATTTAGAAAGGCAAGAGTGACATTTCAGAAAATGTGAACAACAGGAATCCAAAGGTCTGGCTTGAGCTGGGAACCGAGGGCAGTTTTTTTGGCTAAACAAAGAGGGGTGTGCCTCTTCCGACCGACCGACCGCAGTTTCTTTCACCTGGGGAGAGAAAGGCATGAAATACATTTTGCAAATAAATTAATCTGAGCTTTGATTCTTCAGACTCCCCAAACTGTTTTGGAGTCAGATTTCGACGCATAAGGAAGGTCTTTCTTATAACCTGCTTCCTTAAGACAAAATGATGGTTGACTTTTGCTTCTGGCAAAGAGGAGGGTGAGGAGACGTGAAGGTGAAAAGCAAACAAAACAGAGATGGATGAGCAAAGATCCGACTTGCCAAACCGGTGTTGGAGCCTTTGTGTTTCCTCATATGATGAACTCAGGAACAATGCACCTTGGCAGCCTTAGCTGTGAGTCAGTGAGTCCCAGGGAACTCACGGAGACTTCGTTTCTGAGCAAACATGCGTGGGACATATTTTTTTCGGACACTTTGGCTGCTTCAGGTGGAAGGCATAAAATCCAAGGGCCTGAAACCAGGTCTTAGCAGGAAATAGGCTGGTAATAATTTAGCTTTCCCTCCTGTTAATGATTCCAGATCTTAACCTCTGGCAGCTCCCTCCTCCCTTCATATGATGGCATTGTTTTTATCCAGGAGAATTTTCCCCTTTTTCCTCTTTAAGGGGCCAGAGACTCGAATGCCCTGCTGTAAACTGGTTCGGCTTCTCCGAAACTTGGTTTTGCCGGCTGACCCCCAGTGACCCGTAACTTGCTCAGAAGTTTCACTTAATCAGCTTTGCTCATTAAGCTTACTTTCCATTCCTTTTACAGGTTTTAGCCATGGGGAATATATATATATATTTGTGTGTGTGTGTGTGTGTGTATGTGAGAGAGGATGAAAGAGAGAGAGAGAAAAAAAAAGAAAGAAAGAAAGAAAGAAAGAAAGAAAGAAAGAAAGGACTCATTTGGGTGGGCGAGGTGTGTTTCCATTCAGAGCAAGGGCTTGCTGAAATCATCATTTCCAAATTCTGTGCCCAGTTTAAGTGTGATGCAGTCCTGACACCTCTTTGCTTTTTAGTGTTATTTTCCAGGATTTGGGGATTATTGGCAAGGAAAAGGGCAATTACTGACAAGGCAAGGAGAAAGTGAGTGGATACTGAGCTCTCTCTCTCTCTGTGTTTGTGAAGCAAGGATGTAAATCTTCACTTATTTCATGCTAGGACAAATAATTTCAGTGGTTTTCTTTACGTCGGCTGAGATTATGAGAGTTTTTGTACATTTTTAATGATTATTCTCACTGTGGGGCTTGCTTTTGCGAAAAATTCATTTGCACAAAATATGCTTTTTGTGTGTGTAAGCCTTCCCCTTTTGCAAAAATAGTTTTGGGCAGAGAGTGTATTTTGTGCAAAACACAGTATTTAATGCTTCACATTAAGGAGAAAAGTTTATAAGTGTGACTAAATTAATTTTTTAAAAGAACGAAAACAAGAGGACCTTGTAGTGGTTGGCTGTTTTGTGTAGAACACAGACTTTAATGTTGCCCATTTAAAAAAAAATATTATTAATTTAAACAAAACCAAAAGAAGACGACCCTGACCGTTTTCTCGAAAGGGTGACTCAGTGTCCTAGATTTCCTGAAGGACAAGGAAAATTGCAAATGTTCTTTGTGGCCTTGATGAGAAGGGGCCAAAATATAAGGAGCAGGAGGGGGTTGTATCCAGCCTCATTTCTTCTGACCACTAGATGAGGCCATCGGTCAGTGGCGTGGGAGCACAGATGTCTTGTATGCAGAAGGACCCAGGCGCAATGTGTGCTGTAGCATCTTCAAAAGGGTATGGAGACATTGGAGTGTCCTTCGCTGGTCGGATTAGACAGCATCAGGTTGGAAAAATCAGTGGCTGTTGATTCAGTTTGACTCATATATTCACTGGAAGGCTTGCCTATATCCAAAGTCATGCCAACTTCGGCCAGTGGTGTAGCCAGGGAGCCCAGGGGCAAAATGGCGGCAGTGGACTTTCCTTACGATTCTGTGATCTCAAGGCCTGGACCCTCTTCTCTAGTTCTTAGAGGGAAAAGGGAGGAATCCCAGGGCAAGAGCACTGTCTTGAAAAAGAAAGCTCTGTATGTTCTGTGTGGTTGCCTCTCACTAATATTCAAGCCCCATTGAAACTAATGGCGCACGCGCCACAAGGGCTGCACACGGGTGTGCATGGCCATTTTAGCCATAGCTGTTGTCCCTCCCTGTGAAGAGAGAGACCACAGACCCGAAGTCCGCAAACGGGGAGGGACAACTGTATATCTTCATTACTTAGATGGGATGTTTCTTAAATATGGGGTAATCCATGCATCTGTGATTGCCCCATAATGTGAGCTGTCTAATGACTTTACTAGGGCTTGCCTTTTGAGGCGCCATATTTAGACATGCCTTGGTTTACCGCTAATATTTTATTACATTGGAGGGGGGGGGAGCACCTATCAGTATTGTTTTCAGGTGCCACCTGGATTCCAGAAGGATGCTCTAAACCTGAGGCTGCTTTAATAAAGTTTAATAGAATTGTTGAAAACAAATACAGTGGACCCTTGTTATCTGTTGGGGTTTGAT